TCGGGGTCGCGGGGCCACGGCTGGGGTGGCGGGAGAGGAGACAAGGATGAGACCAGCACCCCCCAGTGGGCGCCAGAGGCCACATGCCCTCGTCTGGCCCCACACCAGTAATCCGCCCCCGCGCTCCCCCCCAAGCGAGGTACAGAGGCCGTCAGGGGTAAAACGAGCCAGCCAGCCCTGAAAGAGATACTCAACCCAGCACCCCATCCCGGGAGCCACCCAAGGGTCCAGGAACAAGTACTAGGAACAGCAGGGCCCAGCATGCGGACAGGACACCCTGCGCTGAGATGCAGCCACTTCTGGGGAGAGGCCCGAGCATCACGGCAGCAGAGTGAAACGATTTGGAGAACGCTGTAGCTGGGCACGCTGCAGCTGGGGTCCCCTGGGGCCCTGCCGTATGGGGGATCCCGCGAGCTGGGTCATGTCCTCACCAGGTTCTGATCGTCGAAGGCCCCAGCACAGAACTCCTGGTACAAGTCGGGGTCAATCGGGAGGTCGTCGTCCGACAGGGGCTCGGGAGTGGCAGACGATTCCAACTGCTCCTTCAGCATCTGCAAGTCCTCGTCCCGGCCCCGCAGCATCTGCTGGGAAGGGGGTTAGTCACTTGCTGTCCGACATGACTGACCTACACCCCTTATCCCTGCGCCGGCCACACACGCAGACTGGGAAACTGAGGCACACAGCAGGGATGAGACCGGGCCACCATCAAGCTGCAAAAGCTGGGAATAGGACCCAACTCTTCCCCACTAGCCTCACTCCCCTCCCAGAGCCAGGGAGAGAACCCAGGCATCCGGGCTCCCACTCTCCCACCAACTCTAACCACTAGCCCCTACTCCCCTCCCAGAGCCAGGGAGAGAACTCAGGCACCCTGCTTTCCAACCTCTCACCAGCCCTAACCACTACCCCAGTCTCCTCTCGGACCTGGGGAGAGAACCCTGGAGGGAAACAGTCACAGGGAAGATGGAGCCAACTTACCGAGGCTGGGAAATACTTATATGACTCCTAGAAAGAAAAGAAACACTCCGATAAGCACCTCGGATGACACGCGGCCATCTCTGGAGCGGGGCAGCCGCCAGACAAGTACGTAGGACAGGAGGTGAAGGCTTCCGTACTCACCCGCGCCCGGACCTGGCACTGTCGCAGACGGCATTTCTGACGAATTTTATTGGGCCCTCCGAATTTTTTCATGTCACGGCAGAAGTCACACTGGCCGCAGTCCTCTGTCCGCCGGCACGCCTCGCACTCGCCACACATCCGTGCCGAGCGCTTAATTTGCTGTTGCGGAGGAGAGAACTGTAAGAACAACAAGTTTGTATGTTGAAGAAAGATGAGGAAAACATCCTTAACTGTGGGTGTCCTTAACGGGGGGCGTCCTTAACCAGGGGTGTGAGAAAGAGAACGTTTTGACTCTCGCATCTTTGAAATTACCAGGCCATCCCCTGCCTTCAAATTTGACTTGCTCTTGGCGAGAGCTATCGAACAAGCCAAGTTTGAGATTTCTATCTGCCTCTCTCCCCTAAAACATCCCCCGCCCCTTCGATTCTTCCTTGCAAAGAGGCAATGTTGCATGCACCCCCACGCCCAGAGCTAAAGATGGCTGGTACGGGAAACACACCTGGCATCTGGAAAGCGACCTCTGCCCCCTTGAAGAATTTCAATCGGTTTGACATCACGACCATCGCTTTAAATATTGCTAACTCAGGAGTGCCACAACCCACCCTCCCCACCCAAAGCACATGGATAACTGTAACCAAGTCGAGCTGTTTGCACCCACAAATACACAATACGACAGTCAGCGTCGTATCTGACACACTCAGCAACAACAAAGGGAGGGTCACCCGAGGCAGCGGCTCGTGCATCTGTTGCGAGGGGAAAACTATTTCCAGCAAGTTTCATTCACTTTCTTCGCAACAGATCCAGGCCTGCTTCCCGTCTGTTCCTTATGCCAGCTGCCTGGTTTCGGCTGCCACAGCTGAGGAAAATCTTGGTGTGTTTCGAGGACTGACGCTCACACGCAGCTAAAAGCAAAGTCCACAGAGCTGCCTTCGGTTTGGGGCCCAAACAAGCCGGAAAAGGGGCTTCCCCCCCCCCCCCCACACACACACACAACGTATGCACTGCCAATGCGGCTCATCAACTGTCCTTTTACTTCCCGGCAGCACTGAGATTTTTAGCGGTGCCCGAGCGGAGGGCAGCCCACCCAGGGTCTATTCCAGTCAGGAGACATTTCCCTGGAAATCAGACAGCCCAGCTCTTCCGCAGGGCTGTCTCCGTGCCGAGCGTATGGCTTGGAGATGGCTCTAGCCTCGGTCAGCTGGAGCACGTGCTCAGCCATTGACTTCCCGTCTCCTTCCCCCTACTCCCTCAGCCCCTAATTTTCAGCTGGGATCATGGCAGCTCCCCCATGGACGTACTCAGGGATTTTCAAGCTCCTAAATTGATACCTGACACCCCACCTGCCACCCAACCCAATCATGGGTGCCAAGACCGGCCGGGGGGAGGGGGAAAGACCACAGGATGTGCCGGGAGCAGGCATTTGAGGACATTTACAGTGTAAACCCAAGGGGTCTCTCTCCCGGGACTCTTTCATTCTCACACCCAGCTGGCGAGCAGGGAGAATACTTCCTGACTTAAGAGGCCAGATGAGTGTCCACAGCTGTATTTGTAGCAGTGCCACAGCCAATGAGGTGGGGTCGGAAATTCACCCAGTGCCCACGGGTCTCACCCCACCAGCCCATGCTCCAGAACCGTGGTCTGAGAATGGGCCAAGGAACCTGGCAGGCCCGTTTCATAGACTCCTAGACTTTAAGGTCAGAAGAACATAACATAAGAACATAAGAACGGCCGTACTGGGTCAGACCAAAGGTCCTTCTAGCCCAGTAGCCTGTCTGCCGACAGCAGCCAGCACCAGGTGCCCCAGAGAGGGTGGACCGAAGACAATGATCAAGCGATTTGTCTCCTGCCATCCCTCTCCAGCCTCTGACAAACAGAGGACAGGGACACCATTTTATCCCCTGGCTAATAGCCTTTTATGGACCTAACCTCCATGAAATTATCTAGCTTCTCTTTAAACTCTATTATAGTCCTAGCCTTCACAGCCTCCTCTGGCAAGGAGTTCCACAGGTTGACTACACGCTGTGTGAAGAAGAACTTTCTTTTATTAGTTTTAAACCTGCTCCCCATTAAAAAAGGGACCATTATGATCGTCTAGTCTGACCCCCTGCACAGTGCAGGCCACAGAATCTCACCTACCCCTCCTAGAATCATCCTCTCACCTATATCTCAGATATTGAAGCCTTCAAATACTTTGAAGGCCCCAAGATGCAGAGAATCCTCCAGCTGTGATCTGTACCGCATGCTACAGAGGAAGGAGAAAAACTTCCAGGGCCTCTGCCAATCTACACTGGAGGAAAATTCCTTCCCGACCCCAAATATGGCGATCAGCTAAACCCTGAGCATGTGGGCAAGACTCACCAGCCAGATACCCAGGACTCACCAGCCAGACACCCAGTTCTCTATAGTAACTCCTATCATCCCTCCATTGAGCCTGGGGGCTCAACGGACGAGAAGGGAGCACTGCCACTCCAAACGGGACGGATTGCCCAACTCCGAGACGCAGCCACTTCTGGGGAGTGGCCACGCATCAGGGCAACACCGGCGCAGCTCTCTGCCCAAGGAAATCCGACCACGTTGCAGGTTGTTTACCCTTAACTCTGCCCCTTAACGCTGGGGACGGGCAGCAACTGGAGCCGGAAGGTGGTTGGAGCTGCTCTTAGAACCCTGCCGCTCGGTTCCCTGGCAACGCAGCCCCATGGGCTCATGGGACAGAATCCCACCGGCTCCCTCCACCCCCAACCTAGCACCCTTTCCCGGGCACTTACTTTGGACCCACGGCTCTGATCCAGGGCCAGCTCCTGGGCTTTCTTCCTCAGCTCGTCTTTCTCCGCCCGATCCCGCTCGCCCTCCCGCTCCTTGTCCTTGGATTTCTTGTGCCGGTATCGGATCTCCAGGGCCGGGTTCTTATCTGCGGAGGGGAGAGGAACGCACATCATAGCCTGAAAGGCCAGGGGCGCCGCCCCCGTCCCCTCCCCGCCCC